CTAGAATACAGGGATACCTCCCAGTTCGACCCGCCGTGGAAAGGGAAAATGGACCAGTCTACCCAGCCAGGGCCAGCGGGTCTCCCTATGACAGTCCTACACTCATTGGGCCAGTCCTGGGTGCCACCGACGCACCGAGTTCCACCCCTCCTTTCTTCTGAAGGATGGACCGAAGGATCCAGATCCAAAAAGACGCTGGATCACCCGCTTCGACCGGTTCGTTGGACCCTCGGAATCCCAGTGACTCAGTCCCGTTCATGACCTGAGGGTCCTCACGTTCATGACCAAGCCTGTTGCTGGAAATATGTGTGATCGTTTTCAGGGTTGCTTTGAAGAACCAGGGACTTAGACTCCAGCATTGGGCGAGGCGAAGTCAGTCAGCAAGGTCGTTTTGGCATGAGGCGGCCAAAGATCATTTTGCGGATCGAGATGTCCAGCAACCACCCTTTTTCGGGCATTAGATGGTAGTATCGGACAAGGAGGGCTCTCACACCATGCAGGATACACAAGCCTCAAATCTTCTTGTTTTCGATTCCGGAAATTCCCCCGAGCCCGGCATGTACCGGTGTTACTGCTGTTTTCGGCGCAGGGGAGGCGGTCACCACTCTGCCATGTTGCCACTGGTACCACACCGAGTGCATTCGAGTTGCTCGACTGCATGGTGCAGACGGGAAGACCGGTGTTTTCCTCTCACCTTCGCCGTGAGCGAGTCCTATGAGAGTCCTATCACAAGGCCAGGTCAGGACGAGGTCGGGCTACGGAGCTACCCCCAATTTCATGTGACCCTGAAACCGTTCAAGGCATGTTATTCTTTGCGTCCAAGCCATGCGTCATTGGCCAGTCCGTGGAAAAAGGCCGAGCCAGTGAACAGTATGGGCATTTTTGCATGTGACTTCTTGTGACGTTTCGTGACTTCTTGTGCGTGTTTGTTGGGTGAACCAGGAGTGGCCGAACCAGATGAACCAATCAACCATTGATTCCAACCATGCACGGAAACCCAAAAAAGCAATCGCTCCCAGTACCTTGAAACAGCCGCTGACCAGCCAAGGAGTGGTTGCTCCATGCGCAGCTTTGTCCCTTGTGTAAGACCTCAGTTGTGCCAGAGGACTTGGGAACTTGAGCAAAGCCTCGAAGTTACCGGACGAAAGGGTCCGAGGCAAGGTCCCCAGATTGGTAGAAAGCTACCAGGTACTACTGAATTGCAGGTTGTGAGGCTTCAACGACCACATTTCATCAAAAAGCGCCTGTCGACAACTGCTGAAAACCACTTGCCACCTGATCGCCTGGTTTCAAGATGTGTTTTTGAAGTCTGTTCTCAAAAAAAAGGGCTTCTTCTTGCACCTGCGGAGGGAAACGGCTTCCAACGGCTTCCCTCATCCTCGCTGTCTCACCTGCTTCGTCTCGCCCGGGAAGAGCCCGGGACTCCGGGACCGTGGAGGTGCCAAAGAGGCGGTGACCGTGGAGCTGGACATGAACGGTTTCACAGGCCCTTTTGGTCGATCCAGATGTGATGCAAAAAAATGAAACAAAACATATATATATATAATATAATATAATATATAACATAATATAGGGTGTAGCCCGTGTGTAGCCCCATCAGTAACAGTCAGTAAATGATTATCACCTATGATCACATAAATCATTACGATGTGTTTGTTTGTCTTCTTTTTGTTTTTCAGAAAGGCCATTGCTAACCAACATCATCCGTTGTTGCTGGTAATGGGATGTACCCAATATGTATATTATAATACATACTGTCGACGCATTGACCATCTGACGCGCGAGGTATATATACAATTATGTAGTACATATACATGTATATATTAGTATATCGCCGCGTTTCGACGGGAGCCATCCACAAAAGCGGAAACTGGTCATGCTTTTGGGTTGGTTCCATGTTCTATCTAATCCAGGATGGTGAACAATCTAATCCAGGGTCGATCCTTTTAGTTTCAGTATATACTGAGTTTCATCGATCTTCAGGTACGAGATCCTGTGTGTGGTTCAAAGTGATAGCTTAATTTATAATAGCCAAGATCCGATAGGATTTGAAACCGTTTTTATGCACAACAAGTTCTATTCATTCTTTGCTCAAGTAGTCTACGACATGCTCTATTTGTTTGTCCAACATCAGTTTTCGCTGGTGAACGAGACAGGGCCCCCACATAAACGAGATAGGTATTTTACTAAAGTAGTCTGAACAAGATACTGCGATATGACCTTCTACTCGTACTTAAGTAGTCTATACAATTGAGATAGGGCCCCACATAATGGATGGTGTAGTTGAGTTTTGTAAATATGAATAAGTGTCATATATATACACACACGTTTACAAAAAAAAAAAAACATACCAAGAACCATGTAATTTTGGCTAACATTCAAACTGACCGGACAAATGAGGTGAAGAAAACACGAGAGAGGCCTTCTCAGCTCACGTGACCAAATCTTCAGAAACAACGAGAACAAGAATGTCCGAATCAAAAAAACGGGTCCAAAAAAAAGAAGGAAAGGCGTGCAACAAATAACATTGCAAAATGCTATTAGCTTTTGCGTACAGTATACCCCAGACGATCCATGTATGTATTATATACCATGTGGGTAGTGGTGGGACCGGCTGCGGACGTGGCTTGCTTGACTTCACGGCCAACAGCATCGGTTTGATGCCCTTCAACCCCGGTTTGACGAGCTCACCTTGGGGAATATGAAGCTGGGAATGTCCTGCTCATCAAGCTGTTTGAAAACCCAAGTTGGAGGAGGAGCTACAGTATAACAGTTCCAGCTTTTTGATTTACTGTAGTAACTGCAGTAACTGCCTTCTAAATTAATTACTTGGAACAGGAGTTACAGAATGCAGTAGTTGTTTTTGTTGCTCAGTTTGCATAGTGCGAGACCAAGTATTCTTGGACGGATCATGACTGAGGTTTTCTCAACTTGTGCATCACCGAATCGCATGTTCTTTTTCGTGATGGCTCAAACATCAATGAGTTGCGGTCAAATAGAATCACTGTCACCCAAAGTCATCATCTACAAGTTGCCCACCCCGCTCTTCTGCGGAAGCTGATGGCGATCGACCTGGCCAATCAGTCGCTCGAAGGATTTGATTGAATCAGTTGAATCAGGTTTCTTTGTATATATAAGCTAACAGTGGAGCTACATACAAAGAACACCTGAGCTTCTGGTTGATTCAGAGAAAAACATCTCGAAGACGACGTGATTTCAGAGGGAGATGATGACCCTACTCCCCAACTAACTAGGATGGAGGAGTGCCTAAAGGTGTACTGCTGGATTGGATTTTACTGCATTTGGATTTGGCTTGTTTTTTTTACTTACTGCCAAGCCAGAGGAGACTGCACCATCCCCACTTGCCATCCTGCTTGGCAATCTACAATCACCGTAACGATCCGTAACCATTTCTTGACTGCACGGTGTTTGAAGGATCTGGAACTATTGGAACATCTATGGATATATATATATATATAACATCTAGAGTACTAAGCAGAGCCCCTCACACGCTGTTTCGCCCCCGTTCGCCGTTTCGCCCACGGTACGACCCGCTGCCACGTCACCGGTGCCATGACGAGCGGCGTTGGCGCCTGGTGTCACTGGCTTTGCAGCCCACGAGTCACGAAGCCTTCGGTGACTTTTAAGGACCGGTTTGTTCTCTTTTTTGTCCGAACGGCGACCCCGAATGGGGAACAGAACATGTTTTTTGGGTGCGTTTTTAAATCAGAATATATCAGTACGAGCCCTTGGAATGATGTAATGATCAAAACAGATTGGTGATGTAAATGGTCACTGAGCCTACAAATCACTGCTCCTTTCAACCAAGTCCAGCAGATTTCTGCAGGGAGTGTTAGATTGGCATGTTCATCCACAGTCGAAAAGAGGGACACAAGGTTGGACCGGTGACGTTCTAGAAACAATCATGGTTCTTGGATGTTCTTGGTCTAGTTGCTATTGAGTTTAAAGCAAGAAGAAGCAACTATGATTGTGGTTATGGCACTTCTGGCTTGATGCTTGAAGCCACTCTGTGGGAGCAATATGAAAGTTGTGATTGCACGCCTACGAAACAAGCAAGAACTGCTGACAAATTGGCAACTTTTGAGAAAAAGGTTTTTTTTTGTACTAAGTACAGTTCGATGTTATTCATATGGATACACAAATGTCATGAGTGAACCTGTAACAGACCATTGGTAAAAGCCACAACACATGCGACGGCGTGACTTGCTCAGGTTAGTGGACTGAATCATTGTCAGGTTCAACAATGGATTCTTTGGCTGAAACATGAACTTATATGGACTTCATTCAAAATGGAAACAACAGTATAACTTAAGTATACTTAAATATAGTCATTATAGGGGTCACAAAGTTTCACAGTTATATACTTAATCATTCTATTTACAGGTTTGGGCTAAACCGAGCTTCGCCAAATACGTCACCAGGCTGGACGCCTGACCATGTCATCAGACGATGACGGAAACCGAACTTCGCCAGACACTCCATGGGACGGTTTTTACTCGAAAAGCAGCACAAATTAAGCCCTCACCGGATGGAACACATGCAAGTCATTTCGAGTGAGGGACATGGATTTGGTCCACTCTTTGTTACCCTCACGGTAACAACTTGTATGGAAAACAAAAAAAACATGTTAGCCTAATCACGTCGTCCCTGTTTTGTTGTCCAGCCACTCACTCTAGTTCAGTCAACCTGTGCTCACCCTCGTGAGAAACAGCAACAAGCAAAGCGCCAGGAGGCGGGCGAGCGCCATGAGCCCGAGGTGGAACCAGAGGAGCAGTCTGAGGAGGACGTTGCTGTCGAATTGGTTGACGAATGACTTGGTGAGCGGATTGCTGAATTTCGTTGGTTTGCTTGGTAGATCCAAACGAGGTAGTTGGATGTCCAATAAGATCCTGGACTCCATTTACATGTGGGGTGTTGGAGACGCGCCGATTGCAACGCCGTGGCACACGTGCCGCTGAGCGTGTGCGAAGGAACTCACGTTGAAGCAAAAGCTGCTCCAGCGCTCCTCGGACCCTGCTTGCTCGCTGCGCGAACGAAGCCGAACGAAGCGAGTATTTCTCTCACCTGAACTCCTGCTTCTTCAGCTGAGCTTCCCGTGTTTGCCGTCAAGATGGTTCATGAGTCCCAAGTTGAGAATTACGCTCCATCATGATTGATCCTTTTCCTACAGATTGAGTTGAGGAGTCTACCTGTTGCTTGTGACCAGCGTTGGACGCAACTTGAGGCCGCGCAGATGCGGTGTGCCTCCTTAAGTACCCCATGGGAGATGCGGTGTCTACTAAGCTGCATCAAGCTATATATATATATGATTATATGCCAGGACCATCCTGTCGGGGTGTCCAATGGACTGTGTCCTGGCTGGACTACCCCACACTACCATCCATGGACCTCCATTGGGCACTCCTTGGATGGTCCAGGTGTGTAGGACCGAAGACAGAACCGCCGGCGTTCCGACCCCCTGAAAGGTTCGGAGCCTAGTCGACCCGCCAGCGGGACGATACTATCGAAAACCTATGCACCGGACTCCGGACCTATAGTAGTCACACATGTGCCAAAGTTGTGCACTATGACATAATGAACATGTGCCAATCCATATGTAATGCACATATGTCTTGCACTATAGTAGTGTTAGCAATGCTTTGCCTTGCCTCAAGAAGGAAGTTGCTGGCAGCACTGCTTGAGCGAATTGAACCACATTGCGTTTCGACCTTTGTTGATAAATAAACAGAGTATCATATAGAAAGTCCTTCTATAGATAGGTGTTTTTTTGTTTATTTGGTCAATGCCGTTTGTGATCCTCGAAACCATCCCCATCCTTCATGAGCTCGGGCATCACTTGGCAGCCAGGAACCAAAATTTTCAAGATTGTTCAACTGTTTGTTGCCGACATTTGCCGACCAAAATTGCAACTGGTCAGTGCTACTTTGATAATACCTTCCTTTCGGGGTGCGGCATTCAAGGGGAACTCCATCCAAACACGCTGCGATCGATGTGGAAAATCACCCGTGCAATTTGCTTTGGAATGGCGGGTGTTTACATGATTTGATCACTAAATAGCTATGACTATGACCACCACTTTGCCCACCACTTTGCACCAGGGCTGAAGCGGATGAACACCGGAGACTTGCTGCGCCAGGCTCGCCGGGCGCTGTTCTCACGTAGACGCCTCTCTTGCAGCTGGTAGCGGAGTGACATGAAACCTTTGAGAAAGCGAGAAGCAAACCAGTTCAATCGAGTCGGCGGCCGACGTGCTGGGCAGATTCGGAAGGACCCCTTCTGTTCCGACTCGCTCCATACGGAACATGCTTCAGAACCGACCGTTGTAGAGTTTGTTTTTTCATGCAGATGTGGTGTTTTCTTTCAAGATATGGTGCATTGATACCCTCAGCTAACTATAGGGTTCCACCAAGTAGTTGAGGATATGCGGATATGTGCATTGGACATGTTGTCTTTTTTACTTCTTTGGGGACTCCTCGTCTCAGCTCCCTCTGCCTTCCGTCCACCGGACTGGACCGGTCGGTGGACCGGTCGGCGACCGGTCGGTGGGTGGGAGGTGCACTCCATCGCCCGACTTGAGAAGAGACATGAACAGACCCCAGACACTCCATGTATGGCATATATGCCTACATTAGGGTGGTTTCAGGGGTCAATGTAGGCATATATTCCATACATGGAGTGTTTGGGGACTTGGGATCCCCCAGATTCTTCCGTTGGTCACCCTCACTGGATGGTTGTAGACATAAGCCCGTGACCCTTGAGTAGGCCGAATGGGTTCCACATCGTGGGTTCCACATCGTGGGTTCCACAGGGCGATGGGATCAGAAGCAGGACTTGACGTCACAGGGGTGCCGATCAGGGAGGGATCGGCCCGGACCATCCTGGTCTAAGACACCACCCCTGACGGCCGTTTCTCCTGGTTTGTGATGTCATGTCAGAGTCAGACTGCAGAGTATATCATTGATGTTTTGATGTTTCTGAGAAGTAAAAACCACCTTGAAACACCCAACTTCTGCACCCTTCCTGCCCAACACCTCGCCAGATCCGCCGCAACATCAGCTCCTTTTCCGCGCCTTGGGACCGACGACACGTGTCGAGACCGACCGGTCTGGGACACGTGGAAGACGAAGACCCAAACCGCCCGAAACGGTCAAAGACCCAGACGCGACCCGTCTAACACTGCAGGACGGCCGAGAAACGGCCAGGGGTGGGCATACATGGAGTGTATGGGATATGCCAGTCTCATGGAGTGTTTGGGATATATGCACAGGCTTCAGCTTCAGATGCTTCACGTAGCGGTCAGGGAACCATCGCCCGAACGCATCCGGGATCGGGATTTAGTACCTTTTTTCTGCCGTTCCATGCGTTCCGTGCGCAAGAGCACGGTAAGTGGTAAATGAAAATGTGTATCATTGGCAAAGGGTCCGTCATTGCACGTAGCTGACACTTGATAATATACCATGCCTTCTGGAACTATTCCAGGGGTACCGTGAGTTGCTGGAATAATTTTACTGAAATAATGATTTGAGGGAGGGGAGGGGGGGAGTACCTGGAATAGTATTTTGGAATGATCTAAAGTGGAAGGATTTAGAATAATATGGACCCGTTGTTTTCACTCCTTACCGTTTCAAGCTTTATTTTAAAGTATATCATCAGTATTGCTAAAAACTATTCCAAATGTCAATTGAGGTCAGGAATAATATTTGGAATCTACTCAGAGTATGACAGATTAATTTCTAATTATTCCTGACTACATTGAGGGGAGGGACCCCACATGGTATGGTATATACTTGATATGCCTTTCAACTTGCAACATATTTGGATTATTGAGTCACATCACCCCATCGGAGTGTTGCAGCACCCCAGCATGTTTCCTTCGAGTTGGGATTTTGCACCTGAAAATATATCTGTGGGCCTGAAAGACACGGAAAGCGGTGGGCATCGACGCAGAATGAACTTGTTGGGAACCGGAACTGGGTTTTCGATCCAGGTTCAAAATCCAGGATTCGTTGGGAGCTCAAGTGTAGGGTTGTCCAAACTGGTGACCTGCTGGAAGCATTCCTACAGTGACTCTTGTCGTGTTCTTTGTGGGCAGTGAGTTGTTCGTGGTCGTTTTTGATGGTGTATGTTTCTTTAACTTGTGAAGCTGAAGTTCACACCTCCCATCGGTGAAGTGTGAAGACTGGTCTTGGCGGATCATGAAGACTGATCTTAATGAAGACCCGGAACAGTGGTTGGGCCCGGAACAGTGGTGAATTGAACGCCTTCCCTGGTATGGGTGGGCAGCGCCCTATGTAAGTATAGAATGAACAGGACATACACTAGTATGGGAAAGCGAGACATGTGTGCAAAGAGAAAAGGTCTTGTTTGTGAAGAGCAATCCGACTTCGGCAGCTTTAGATTTTCCAGAAGGATCAGAAGCGACCTGGAAAACCTGTCCTATCTTCTATTCCACACGTTTTCCCTCATCAACCAAGCCGCCACCGCCTTTCCCCAGCCACTCCACCCAGCGACCTGTTCCGCATGTCACGTTCGAAAAAGTGATCCCCCGGCAGGGGTCACTGAAGTGAATTCCACTGCACCCCTTGACACCCCCCCCAAAAAAAGGATCGAAACAGAAACTGAAACATCGTTAAGTTTAAGAAACATCCCTAAGCATGCAAAAAAGACGTTTCAGGATTGGACCTATACATGTTCCGAATGATTATGCAAATATATGTGCAGCATGAGTCATTTTTCATCGTCAACCGATGGAAGTCAACCAGATGTTTCAGGTGCTCCCAGACTCGGAGGGCGACCTCTCCTGGGATGGCGACGACATGGCCACCGAGCCCGAGATCAGCTTTGCCGTCCAGGAGCTACAAGCGTGACCGGTCTGTTTTTCAGCCTTGGCTGGGGTCGTTGGCAGCGAGGTGTTGGAAGTGCCCATGGTTAATTATATTATTGGGGGCATAATAAAAACGCACATATATCTGTGTGTGTGTCCACCCCTGGACAAAGGGTTCTCAACCAACTTCGGCAGGGGGACTGTCTACCCCACAGAAGTGACAGTCCAACGAAGAGGCTTCTGTGGCGGTATTGATATCAGTTCCGGACGCGGAACTGACGTACCTGCTTTCAACACATTGACTCCACTGGTCCACCCTGCCGCTGTTCGTTGTTTCATGGTCCTTCTTCATGCTACTTTCCCCACAAACAGGTTTTTCCACTGCACTTCTTAGCCGATCGTGATTTGCAGCCAGCCGCCGACTGCAGACTTGCAACTGTGGAAACATTTTTTAAACAATAAACCTCTTCAACTAGAAGTGGTATACATATAATGAGCAAGTGG